ATATTCATTAGAAGTTTTATACTATGTAAAAAATATTAATTTTGTATGACTATTAAATATTAAAATCATCAAAATAAGTAATTGACAGTTGGTGAAAATACAAACTATAAGATTTTGATAATATCTTAGTAATTATCTAGAAAAAACCAAACATTTTAACTTCATCAATAATTAAATTTTTATTTGTAATACAGTGAATCTTTGATTTTTTTTTTCTTTATTTATTGCTAACAAAAACGTTCAAACCATACCATTTGTACTTAAGTATCTTAATACTAAGTGTAATTAGTAAATAATAAGAGTATATTTGATTTTCTTTTTAAAAATAGTTTTTTGTTTTTAAAAATAAAATAAAAAATGATCTTAAAAAAAAATTCTTTCCCCCCTAATAGATACATTGTTCTATGTCACTCAATAAATCGTTCATTCTTACCAAATCAACGGCCACAATAATCTATTCATCTCCATCTCCAAATCAATACCACTTTCCGTTTCCATACATTGCTCTAACCCTTTTGCATTCAACCTATGAAATACTCATATATAAGCAAGCTTGAACCCGTAGTCGGAACCCTATCATTATTTGGTGTCCAGATTAATAGTCAAATCTCCATTGACCCCATCATTGCAAATCCATGGCTGATGCTTCTTCCCTGCCATAATTTGTGCCTTAAAAATTTGTAGTTATTTTGAACTTTGTTCATGTCTGGCTAGCTCTCGTACCTTACTACTCTTTTTTGTTGATTAGAAAAAAGACTCGCTCTAGCCACTTGTGGCTTGCAATTTATAGATGCCTAATATATATATATCTTTCTCACACAAGTGTAACACTTATATTTAATTTGAGTCTTTCATTTAACTTAAATTTAATAGTTAGTGAAGTAATAAATTATAACCCGTTAAATTTAAATTAAATGAAAGGCTCAAATTAAGTATAAGAGTTTTTAGACTTATGATATATATATATATATATATATATATATATATATATATATATATGCTCATAATCAATAGATGTGCAATGGTTTAATGGATTTTTTTTTATTTTAATTAATATCCTATATTATATTATCAAACTATTGCTTTAGAATAAGTTGGAGTGTTGTTGAGGCCACTACCACAACCACAATGTTGCACATCATGAGCTCTAGCTCTTGTATTCTTGACCAACAAAATGATTTTCTCAAAATCATTGACCTTGGCCTTGGTCATGCCTTCATTGTTCTTCTCAAGAACTATACTCACCACATCGTCACCCTTTGGTATATACCAGTCTAGGTTCTCTCCTCAATTCCATCCATCTTTAGTTTATGCACTCTTTCTCAGCATGTTTCTTTATCCACCACCAATCACATGCATGCTAAGTTGTCCCATTTTGTTTGGTTTGTTTGTATAGTTTGAAATGGAGATGGAGAAGACGAGCTCTATTTCCGAATTATCCAGCAGCTCCTTAACATATTTTTGAAATGGTTTGTTTCTTTTGCTGTTTTGATCTAGCTAGAATCCCAGTGTCTGGACATCACATTGGACATTCGACTAATCTAGTTCAAGAAGGGATGCAAATATTTTATTGCAATGAAAATGAAACCCATTTTTATAACAGAACAATTATTAGCGATTAAATATTGTTTTAGATGCACCATTAATACCCTCTAACCTTTGCAAGTGTTTACTTTTAATTTCTACTACTGATTGTTGATTTGTAGCAATGGGATTATGACTAAATGTGTTATTAACGGTTCTAAGAATTGATTCAGTTCTAATTTTTGTAATGCAGCTCCTTGCATTTGTCATCTTGTAGCACAGAGGATATGTTTGATCATAAAAGCATGTAATTAAAATAAAAAAACACAAACAATTAAGAGTTTGTAAAGCAAATAATTAAGAGAGGCAACGACGAATCTAGAAATTTTTAGCTACCGCAAATTACACATCATTTTTGTGGGAGTAACATAAATAAATGATTTTTGGCCACTTAAGAGCGCTAATACTTTGTTGCTTGATGTTCAAATTGGATCAATGATCATACTTCACAATCTATTATCAATTTATATCTGCATACTCAACACTTAACACTTCATGCATGCTCACACAAGGAATCATAGCTAAGAATTACTCATTGTTATATAACACCCACAATTTTTTACAGTTATGTCATGTTGACACATCACATAATCTCGTTTTCATATCTTGATTTATTTTTTACTATTACTTTGATGACTCCAATAAAGATGAATTCCATGGGGTCTAAAGAACTCTTATTATTTTGGTACGTGGGAGGTAGGCGAATATTTTTTATATATATGGAATTAATATATATATATATATATATATATATATATATATATATATATACACACACACACACCAAAATATAGTATTTTTTAAAAAGTTACAAAAATATAGCATTTAAAAATCGTCAGTAATAATTTTTTGTGTAGGTAAAATAGAAAATTGGAAAGTTACTAAATTATAAAAGATGTCGTTAACGATTTTTAGAAAAATATTAAAAAATTGTCACTAACAATTTTTAAAAAAATAATAAGAAAGTTTAAAAATTTAAAAATGGCCGGTGGCAGTTTTTAGAAAAAAATTGTTAAAAATTATCATTAATGATTTTTTAGAAAATTTTATATTTTTGTAATATTTTTTCAAAACATCATATTTTTTGGTAATTTTTTATTTTTTTCCATATAAAATAAAAGCAAAGGTAGGTGGTAAAATAAGAATTTAGATTTTAAAAAGTGTTTTTCATCAGTCTTATTTATTCATAAATTACTTTTTTTACAATTGGCATATTTTTTTTCTTACTCATTTTATACGCCTAATCATTTACATGTTTTTTTTTTTTTGGTGCTTTAGTAATAATTTAAAATACATATGACGCGCGTATAGATTGTTAAATGGAAGTTATATAGATAAATAGATAGGTATAACGTTGCTTATAACAAATCTTTATAAAAGAAAATAATTGTGAAAAGAGAGAAGCAAGGAATAGTATATATATACTCTTGAATCTATATTTCACGTAACGTTACTAATTTAAAAGATCTAGAGAAAAACATCATCCGGACACGTCTCTCATACATGCACATATTCTCTCTCTTACTGTAGGTAGAAATCCAATAAAGATGACATTTATGGAGCTATCACTGTTTTGACATTTATGTTCGCCTGGAGCTTTGTACCGCTCTACTGTAACACAAGAAAGTACCAGCGTAGTTGGTCCTCAGCTACCATTACCATACAAAACTACCTAAGAAGACCTACTGCTGTAAGCTATAATATTATAGATTAGAGATAGAGGTAGCTGATCTTCTTCAAGCCTTCTGGCTTCTAGCCATATTTTACTTCCCATGAAACCATCTCTTTCCCGCTTCTAAACTGAATGACCACGTGTTGTGGACTCTCCATAAATAGTATGAAGTCAGATTCTTGATGGGTTTTTAGTTTTATATTTTCCAGATACACTGCTATTTTATCAAAGTTCAAACTCAAAGGAGCCATTCTTGCTGCCTATTTACTATTACGTTTTCCAACATTACCATCTAATAGTTCATAATTATTAGATAAAAACTGTGTTTAACTGTGTACGCGCAAAAATAAAACATACATTTCAGCTTTTCAAAATAATACATTATGTTCATATATGGCTTCGTTATGTACTTGTCCTTGTCCCCCCCTCCCCCTCCCCCTCCCCCCCCCCCTATTGTCATCTTTAAGTCGACAATTTCATGGATATATAACTAGGTGTGTATTACACACAAACCCTTCATCCCCTATCACCGAGGCATGCTGTGTGTGGAACACATGAAAATAAATGATTGAACCACATTATGATTTCAATCAATGCTCTGAACGGATATCTAATTTAAACGACCAAACTAGTTGTGAACATTAAAGTCAACATAATGTAGGAGGCCGACACGGTAATAGCGTACTGATTAAATATGTGTTTCAGAATTTTAAGGAAACAAGATGAGATTGCACATGCTGGGAGAGATCTAAAATCTATTACAAGACACATTACTTGGTTAAACCGAGTGGAATGTTGAACAAGGACCACAACAGCATCAGGACATGAAGGGACCACGCACCAGCAGGGAAAGAAAATTTGCCAGCAAGTGCCTGCACGGCAAGCTGTTCTTGTGGACAAATAGAGACAAGAAGCAAGTAGTAGTGGTGATTTCACGTGTACAGATTTTTTAATATCAAATCATGTGCTGTATAACATCCATGGAACGCTTACTGCTACAAATTCTTATGGAGAAATCTGTAGTGGACAGTTCCAAGTCCCACTCTACTGTTATGTCAACTTCCATTCACTCATTGCTCTCTAAGTCAGCCTTCTTACTCCAAGTTTACTTATTTCATTGTTGGCGTGGACATTTTCTCCACACAGCTTTTTCCTATCACAGATCTGAACTCGCCTTCTCATTTGGCACTCCCTCCAGTAATTGGACATGCATAAGCCAATGGCCCAACCCCATGCTACCATAGGAAAACTTAAAAACTAGAAGTGGACATCCTAAAATTTCAATTTTAATTACATTAAGTATATATTTAAGAAATGAGATGTATAAAAATTACTAATAATAAGCTTAAGTTTGATATATTAAAATCAACACGAACATCTTAAATATTTCGTATATGTGTGATAAATAGGTTTTCAAACATGAAAAATGGACATTGCTAACTTTCAACCTAATTATTTCTACCCAGACAACCATTTTATTGCTCAAGCAACTTCTAGAGGATGCGACGCTAAGAAAGTACGTTGAACGTGAATTGTTTGCTGCAAAGAGTAAATCAGCCTAATTCTCAGCAGGTTTCCTAATTCCCATCCATGAAACTCAGTTTGTTTAGGAATGAACATACCACTAGTCATGGCACTTTTCTTTCTTAAGTTCCTTCTTACTACCCTATCCCTCCCCACACCCCTCTTTTCCAAAAAAGAATTAAGAAAACTAGAATCTACAATAGATAAGAGAAACAATGTGAAATTTTACTATTTGAGATTGATTTATATCAAAATCCGTAGTCGAATAAAATTTTTCAATGCCAACAACTGGCATGCAAATATGAGGCTCTTAGACAGTGGATTGAAAAAAAAATCCTAATCTTCCCCCTCCCTAAAAGACAAAAAAAAAAAAAAAAAGCTAAGACAAGCAAAAAAATTCAATGGATAGAAATACCATAATTCATAATTCTTTTGTATTACAAAATACTTTTGTTACTTTGAGAGCCAATAAATAATGAGAAACAACGTACAAGCAGCAATAACTGCTGACAGAATAAGAGTATCCCTTGAGCGTCGCCTTCTTATTGAACCTGCAAAAGCACATATTTGGTCAACAAAAAGAGAGACAGTGACGCTGAAAATCAATGGAAAATTCGTAATATAAAATCTAAAACATACCAAGCAGGCTACGAATGATGGGAAACTTGTCACCAAGAAGCTTCACTTTTCCTTGAACATCAGAAAACAATGCCCTCTGCGAACCCAACACAGCTCTTGTTGCTTGAGCTTGACTAATCACATCATCTATCTGGAAAAATGCAGCAAAATTGACATCATGACTCCTTAAAATCCAGGATAATAGAGTCATGTTTAATAAGAGCAGAAAAGAAAAAAGTGTGTACGAGACCTATTATTGTGACTTCGTGTCAGCAAAAGTGAAGAAAACTTATAACATAGCGATTCACATACAATCCAAATGGATTTTCAAGACCTTTTTCTTTTTGTTAAAGAAAAAAGAAATCTAATTAGAAATTTGACAACCATAAATGGATAAATGCAGTATTGCAAATTTTGAGAACTTCAAAATTATAAAACCCAAAATATGCTTGAGGAATTAACTATATCAGACTAAACATTATTGCCACCAAGCAGGAAGCCCTAACTTTGCACAGAAGCAATAGTGCATAATTTGAGATACGAGAGACAATATGATTATTGAAAAGATAAAGCAATTTACTTCAAGTACTAATGGGATACTGAACATCTCAATCTCCAGTTAAAATTTGTATGTTGGGAAGCCCGACTTTGGATTAGGCCTTGCATATGACTTAAAAGACACCATATGATATGTAGCCAGAAAAATGTACACTAAAAGTAGAGACCATATGACAAATCTTAGGTACAAGACTTAAGCTACCCATTTGACATTAGTTCAAGTGAAGGGAAAGAAAAAGGGGATCCCCAGAGCTAGCCATGGGGAAAGAGCATTGTTTGACCCCTCTGATGCAGCTTTCAAGGGATCAATGAATAATTGACATTCACTTGAAATGTTCACCAATTGTTTAAGAAGAAGAAGTACAAATTTATCCTACTTCAATAGAATAAATACTCACATGAGATATATTGCCATGGATTGCAGCTCTCTCACGTAGTAACTGCATCCTTGGGGACATACTACCAGCAGACGTCTGCCAGAAGAAGGTAAGTCTATAGTACAGCTATGAGAAAATATCAATGTAATTTAACTCAGATCATACTCATGATTCACCTTAAAGTCAGTAATATCATCCCTGACAGAACTCAAAAGCTCTGCATGTTCCCTCATTGAGTTTATGTTTCCCTTGATGCGCCTAAATTCCTGAAGAGAATAACAAATAACAGGGTAAACATGTTTAAAGTAAACTTATTAGAGTAATAGAAATCAAAATTTTCAATGTAGTCATATCTAATTAATGTCAGCAATAAACTAACTTTCTAAAAGCTGCTGCCTAGTTCCTAAATAAGCTATCTCAAGTAAAAAATAGCATAACAGATTAACAGTAGGTAGGGCACAGCCACAATACATTGTATGTGATTATGCTTAGAAGGAATTGCTAAATGCATGTACAGTTAGGTCATCATCAGCAAACTCAAGTCAAAATGACAGTAGAACATTGCTCACTTGAGTTACCGAAATTTTCTGTTTACTTTCTAAGACATCTGTCAAGGCTTAAGAAGGATGATGCAGAGTCTGAAGAACCTTGATAAATGGACTAAAACATTACACTTACACCTGTCCTGTCCTCAGTAGCCTCATGTTAGCATGAAATGGACTACAAGAATATCTGAAGATCACTTTTTTGCACTTTTTACTCCAGGGGGATATCTTATTATTATCCCCTGTTTAGTTCTTCTATTGATAACATTCATCAGGCCTCAAGCCAGATAGATATTTAGTTTCCATTTGAACAATATTCATCATTTCCTTAAAAAGGCTACAATAAGGACAAGAAAATAATCACAATCCAAGCACTTTTTTATTCTTCAGTATTGTCAGTGAAATCATTACAAAGAAATGAAATCAAAATATCAAATTCAATCATTAATTCCCCACCTTCTCAGAAGACAGAAACTTCAATAGTTCTCTCCATTTTCAATTGTTTCATTTTGTTGAGAATAGAATAAAGCAGTGACATATTAAAAGAATCACCAGCCATCTGATTCAACAGTTTACCCAAGGTTACAGGCTTGACATAACATAATGTGTGCAAACGAAAAATTGGTATTGGACACTTAGTTGAAGTTAGGATTCAGGGCAATGATTACTAGCAATTCATTTATTACTTATAACCCTTTATTTTTCACTTGGCATATATCAAAGCCTAGTGCTTTGTATCTTGCTTATCCAGTGGTGAAACTTGAGCCACAATCCACTTATAAGGCAACCCCTTCTACAAAGCAATAACTAGAACACCTGCACAAATTCCTTTCTCCCTAGATGTCAGTAAATCCATCTAGTTCCTTAGTCCAAAAAGGTACTTAACTCAGCTGCACTTCTTAGTACTAAACAAATCTCTAGAAGTCATGAGTCATTGATTCTAGAATAACTGATCTTATGAAAATTTGTTCAAGATTATTCTCTTTCTATAGTCCTTGGAGAGTGAGCCTTGGTGTAAACAGTAAAGCTGTTAACTTGTCGCCTAGAAATCAGAGGTTCAAATCCTGGAAACAACCTTTTTGTTTATATGGACAAGGTTCCCCAAACCCTATTTGATTGGAGTTTCGTGCATTAGGCCATCCTTTTGTTCCTTGTACAGCCAATAAAAAATCAAAATTGTTGATGGGTCCTTCCTCACAATAGTCAGAACTAGCTTTCTCTGCCCCTCATTAAACCCCCACAGTGTTTATGATCCTAGCCTGTCATGCAATTTATTGTCCATTAATAAAGAAACTCATGACCTAAATTGTCATGCCATTTTTTATTCCTTGTGCTGTAAATTTCAAGCATGATGCTCAGGTAGGATGATGGGCAGCTAAGGAGATTGATAGAATCTACATCTTTGACAATGGATCTGACTTCAGTGGACAACTCAACATACCTTTTTAAATTTTATCTCTGTTTCTATGGACAATGAAATAATGTTATGGTACTAAAGGTTAGACCATCCAAGTTTTAGTTATTTAAAGCATTTTCTTCTGAAGCTTTCAAGAATAAAATTCATCATCCTTTACTAGTGAAATTTGTCAATTAGCTAAGCATCATTGCACCTCTTATCCATCAAAGACTAACAAAAGCATCCAGTCCTTTTACCATCATCCACAGCAACATTTGGGGACCTAGTCAAGATCTCACATCTTCAGGAAAACAATAGTTTGTCACTTCAAAGATACAAGACTCAGTTGGTTGTCAAGGGATTTTCTTCAACCAATGGCAATGATAATTTAGAGACAGTTCTCTGGCTGTGAAGCCAAAGATTGTTATAGTTGTTCCATCTCTTGCTACAAGCTCAGTTGAACTTTACAATAACTAGTTGTGAAGAATGCAACACAACAATTAAGTTTTATCCTATTGTTGATATGCTTCAGTCACTTTTTTTCTGTTTTTTTTCAAGTCAAAGATTGTTTTTCAATAAGTCCTATTTTCTAGGAATTTGTTAGTGCTTGATAGGTTGTCACCACTGATCACGCAACATTAGTTTTTCTGTTAAGTTTTTTTTATAAATGTATCGGTTGATGAATGAAATAACACGATGGAGCATATATTAGTTTTTCATTCTCTCATACTCGTTACCTCCACACTCTGTTTTCCATTCCTTGAAAAAATTTACATATCCTATTAGGTGAAGTTAGTATGGATCACACGATGTTATTGAGTTCAATCAAAAACCAAATTCTTAAAATTATTATTAATAAAAAAAATTGTTCTAATAACTTCGTTTAAGATTCTCTTGGATCTCCTTCTACCATTTTTTACCAAATTAAAAGTTGTATTCACTTTCTTAACTAGTACTTCTAAAAGTTTTCTTTGTACATAACCAAACCATCTTAAGTCGGTTTTCAATCATCTTTTTCACTATAAGTACTACTCTAACATTCTTATGATCATTGTTTATTCAGTTCATTCTCATGTAAGCACTCATTCACTTTAATATTCTCATTCTGACCTCACTTAGTAGGATAAGACTTAGTTGTTACTGTTGTTATAAAAAATCAAGGATATACACAAAGTCAAGCAAATCATGCCAGGCTTGCTAAGGAAGATTATTGTATTGATTGTAATTGTGTATGACATAATTCTTACAAGAGATGAACTAGATGCAGAAAACTCTCTAAATAGATTTTAAGATTGTTGAGATCCCACATTGATTAGACATGATCAAAGAATGGCTTATAAAAATTAAAGCAATCTTTATTTTACAAGCTAACTTTTGAGGTAAAATTAAGTCAAAGCTTTCATTTAAGATAATATCAAATTCTATTGTAAATTTGATATTAAACCACCCTTAACTGCTTAAAAAATACTTAGTCTCATGAATTTTTCTGAATGCAACTTACCTGATCCCACAACTTTCACAATGCAACACACACACACACACAAATCTAACCTCAATTACAGTATCACTAAAATAAAACTTATAAAGATTACAAAAATCCTCACCTTACAAACTATCTTTTGGTGTTGAATTAGGCTCAAGTTTAAATTCAAGAAAGAAAAAAGATTTCCAGTCCCTGAGATACTTCCATGGAATGGATTTTGCAAGGTACATAAAAGGAATTGTTCTCTCTCCAAGGTACATAAAAGAAAGGTATGAATGCTCACATATCAGTAGACACACCATTGGCCCTAGTCAAAAGCTTAGGGATGACAAGAAGGGGGAAGGGGAGAACTTATTTACTGCTTGTCACATGGCCTAATAATGTGTTTGCAGTAAATTTAGTAAGTCAGTTGGCAAATATCTTTTCTTCAAAAGAAAGTCACACAATAGATTATTGAGGCCATCACATATACTTACCGGGTAGGGTATAACTGACAAGAGGTCTATTGCAGGCAGTTGCACAATTCTGAGGTAATTTTGTTAACTGGAAAAGCAGAATAACAGAATGCCATAGCAAGGAGCACTGCTGAAACAAAATACAGAGCTATGGCTCATGGAAACTATGAAATGTTGTAGCTTAAAAAAGGGTTCTTGAATAATTAGGGATGCAAAACCAACCTACCAATGAAGTTATATTGCGACAACAAGTATAGCTATTTGGATATCAACCTACCAATATGCATTGCCCAGATTCCAATACAACAATGATAGAATTAAATTTGTGTTTGAACTTCTTGTAAGCATGATGAGCATAATAGATATTTATGCACCAACAAGAAGGCGTTAAATTTTGTTAGGAATTAATTCATAAAAATTTTAGAGAGATTTGTTGGTTAGGACAAAAAACACAAAAACTGAATACAGTGATTCAATTGTTAGGTGGGCACTTGGGCTGTCTTTTCCTTATTTTGCTCTGTTCTTATCAATTGGCATGCTAGTTTAATTTCTCATAATTTGAACCAGATCATACTATGAATTTCCCAATAATAATTAACAAGAGAATGCATTTTTTTTTCTCTCCAAACCTGTTCCAGGCATTGCAAGTAGGAAGATGTCAAAATGCACCAATTCTTAGAATCAACAAATTCAGTAGTTCAAATCCAATGCAACATCCATCCATCCACTAGACAAGGAATATGCAATGGTTGTCTTGTCAAATGAATTATATGCATTTCTGTAATAATCTACAATGCTAGAAATTCAATCATTTTGAACTGAACAGAGGTTAAAACTTTAAATTATCCAAAATAGAAATGTGACATAAACATACCTGGGTAAACTCATGAAGAATATCTCTGTGCCTAGCCAACTTTTGAGTAACAGAAGTGGCTGGTCCAGCAGATGCAGCACATCTACTCATTGAATCATTTATATCCAACAGTTTCTCAAGCAAGGATTGGATTTCCATTTCCATGGACTTCCATGACCTACTGGACCCAAGAGGTGGTGAACCACCATCCACATAACCTAATAACAAGAGGCATATACTCATAATTCTTAAAAATAGAGAACTGCCACTGCCAGACTAAATGCACTTGATTATTAGATACTTCTTCACTATTAATCAACATAGACAATTTCTCTTTCATGTCCAAATAACATTTAATGATTGTGAACAATTAACTAATCGAAATTATGTATCGCTACAATTAACTAATCAGATATAGAATTTCATCTGGACAAGAAACATTTCCATTATAACAGCGCAATGCCTAAATAAAAAAAATAAATAAATTATCAATGTAAAGCACTGAAAATCTGAAATACAGTAATAGTCACTTCACCAGCTAGCAAATCGGAAATTAAAAAGCAGAAAAGATTAAAACTAAAAATCTTCAATTCACTTTCATGAGTAAAATTAGCTAGTTTAATTTAATTTAATTCAAATTCAAATATAGATAAAACAGAAACACGATTCTCAGATGAATGTATGTTCATTGAAGGATTGAATTGAAAAGGAAGTGTGTTGAGAATCGAACCTCCTGGAGTGAAGCGAGCGCCAAGTTTGGCGTAAGAAGAAAGCTTGACGTCGAGATCGCCTTCGATCTTGCGCGCTTCCTTTCGCAGTTCCTCCCAACCCGATTCCTGCAACTCCAAATTCGGATCCCTCATTCGGATCTTTCTCGGGAACCACGAGATTTCGGGTATCACGGTTATTGGAGTTGGTTGTGATGTGAGTAATTTCGAAGTCGCGAAGAACACAACGAAATAGAAGGTGAAGAAGGACGAAGTAGGGAACGAAGGAGGAGGATCCTCTGTAGCTAGTCCACCGTAGGAAGAATGCAACCGGGTCTATTATTATGATTAGTCAAGCGATAAATAAATATTAGTTGTTATTTAATTTTTAATTTAAATAAAAACTTTTAAAATTATAAGAACACTTCTCATGATTCATTTTAATTAAAAGCGTAAATAACTTATATTTTAGACCCTCCAAAGAGTATCATATGTTTTGTATTATATTTCATTAATTGTATATCATCTACTTTTTGTAACATTGGAATTTCTCAGTTTAATTACATTTTTCATATTAACAGCCGATGCAGTACATACATAATTATATAAAATAATATATGATTTCAGTACACTTAAGAATTACTCAAGATGAAGGGATGCGTTTTTCTTACTTTCATTATTAAATAAGTAGTTTTGATTTTTGTTGAGACTCGCCCTCTTTTGAAATGAGATAACTTTGTTTCTTTTTTTCAAAGATTTACTTGTTAGAGTTTGTTATATTCTCCCCATATTGTTTTATTTTTTATTATTTTATAAAATAAATATTAAATAAAAATATATGTAATTATTATCTTAAGATTATAAAAAAATATTTAATAAACATAAAGGATAGAAATTTTAAAATTATTCTTCTATTATTCTCGTTTCGTTAATGTGACTTCTTCCAAATGCTCGTACTCTCTCTTTTATTCCTCAAGAGACTTTTTGTATTTCCTTATTAAACTATAATTTGATCGTTAAATAACCCTTATAATCTTCATATAAAAATAAAAATAAAAATTTTGTTAAACTGAAAATAAGCAATTAATAATAATACAATTTTTTATTAAAAAATATTTATTATATTTTTATAATTTTAATATAATAATTGTGTATATTTTTTATAAAAAATTTATATTTATAAATGCTTAAACTTAACCCTAAAAGTTAAAGTTAACAAAACTCTTAAAAAATTAGATAACTGTAGAAAACTCTAAAACAAAACTCTATCACCTTATCTGAAAGATTACAAGTATGTGAAAGAGGAGAAACACAAAAAAACGAAAATTTTAAAATTGTTATTAATAAGTATTTAAAAAAATTTAAAAATAAAGTCAGTTATTTCATTCAAAGAATACATTTTTTAGACACATATTTTCTTATTTTTTTCTAAAATATTATATTTAGTATATAATATTTTTAAATCTCATATTTAAATTAATTTCCTGCAGTTGGTTTAAATTAATTTTTTGGTGTTAGGTTGGATTTCTAAACTGGTGCATGCAATAGGTGTGGGTCAGCCCAATCAAACGAAGGAAAGTGAGCCTAGGCCTAATGTCACGCCCAAAAGATTACCATTCAAATATCAGATAAAATTTAAATTATTTCTAAAAAATATGTATACATGTTGTTTTATTAATTTATATAGGTATATCAAATTAAAGATTATGAAATGTAATAAAAACAATCATTTTTTAAATTGGTGCAAAACTTTTAAAATGGTTTTGTATTAAACTATATCTTATATCAAAATACAAGCATTAGTAAAATTGGGCAGCTCATGAGTACAAGTAACCCAATAATGAATTTTTACAACTCAAAGTTTTAATTTTTTTAACATGAGGATATCTTTTTATTATATTTCATTTTTTCTTGTAATACATAAATTCATCGTTATTTAACATTTTTTTTTATCTTTTTAGTAAAATTAAATTGCTAAATTTTTAATTTTTAGGTTAAATTTCAAATTTTTAAATTTCAATTTTCATTACTTTAACTTTAATCTCATAATTTAACTACCTATATTATAAAAAAAAAATTACTTTTTTCTCTCAATTTAAGTTACTTATATTTTTTTCTTAAATTAAAAACTAATTGTGCAATATATAGATAGTTGTTGGCTACCAACCTAACTTTTTTTTTCTTTTTTCTTTATGTGATTGATTAAGTTCAACCTAAATTTCAAATTCACTACATTCCTTTTTAGATTACTTTGATTAGTGGGTTCAGAAAATTAAGGGCCTGTTTACTTTTATCATTTTTTGTTTTTATTTTTATTTTTATTTTTATTTTTATTTTTATTTTTAATAAATGAAAAATAAAAATTGATTAGCTATTTTCGTTTCTATTTTAGAAAGGAAATTTCTCAAAGATAAAAACTAAATGAAAATTGTATATTATGTACTTGCCCCGATTCTTGTTAATTGCCTGCTTTTATTTTTTAATTTGAGCAAATTATACTCAGATCTTCTTATATTTAATAATTTTTTTCAGAATTAAATAAAGTTTTTATTCTTAAAATAATTAAAAAAAGTATTTGATCTCTCATTTTGATTTTTTTTTCAAATAAGTTATCTAAAAATTCGATTTTCAATATAATTGCTCCATTTGTAATTTTTTACTCTTTTTAGTTTTTTTTTTTTTTTTTGTAACATCTAACTTGACTCGTATATAAATAATGACGTGAGATTTATATATTTTTATTATTTTTAAATCTTAATTTCAAAAGTTCTAAATTTATAACCTAAAATTATTATAAAATAAAAAAAATATATGATCTTGCTATTTATATTTCATCCATGTTATGTCTAAATTAAATTATATGAGCAAGTTAGGATATTATGTAAACAAATAATATAATAAGATAGCACATTATCAATAAAAAAAAACTGATAAAAATAAAAAAAAATTTCTCAAGGAATTAAATTAAAAATTAATAATAAAAAGAAATGATCAAATAGATAAATTACAAATTTATTTTGAAATATCAAAACCTTTATTTACACATTATCTTTAATTCATTTTATCCTATAATTAAATCTACATCAATTCGTGATTGATTGGTTAAAAAAACTTTTATACTAACGAGTATTGTTCTTTAAGAAAGGAAATTTCTAAATGGTACAGAACAAAAAATTATATAAAAATCAAAATATTGAAAAGAAGAAAAAATATTTTTTCTATGTTTTCTTTTATTAGCAACAATAATTTTTAAAGTTTTGTCACTTCAGCATGTCTCTTTAAATAGGTTAGAAAAAAAAAATTGTGAAAGCATTTGAGAAGAAAAAACTACACATTATTAATGTGTTATACAAAATATATATAGTTAATTTATAAAATAAAAAATATCTAAAAGATAACGATTCAACCAAATTATTTTATTGATTTTTGACAACTATTCAACTAGAAATAAAGAAACAAAATTTTAATAAAACTAGGAGATTTATTCAAAGCTAACAACTTCCAATATTTTAGTAACAACTAGAAACTTATTCAAACATATCTAATATTTTCACCGTTAATTTAAATCATCACAAACATTCAATTTATATTTGCTATAACTCTTAACTTGCTTTTCATTCAAACAAAGTTTTCTAGCTTGAGTAGCTTAGTCAAGACATCAGTTGCTTGTTTTTGTGAGCTACAATGTTGCAACTTAACTGCTTCATTCTTTGTAAGATCCCTTAAAAAATGAAAACGTACATCTATTTGTTTACCCCTCCTATGCATAACTGAATTTCTTAATACTTTTATAGTAGAACTATTATCATAATATATAACAATAGGACTTGTTTGTTTTCTTCTGACTACCTAAAGTATTTGTCTAAGCTACATAGTCTAACAAGAACCTGTTGTTCCTGCTATAGATTTTGCTTTAGTTGTTGATAGACTCATCATTGGTTGCCTTTCTGACTACCTAAAGTATTTATTTTCTGTTTTTTGTTTGTTGTTCTCTATTCTTTGTTTTTCATTTTCTGCTGTTTTTGCTTTGCTGTTTTCAGATTTCATTTTTCTCTGCTGCAGTTTTTGTTTTCTGTTGCAATTTTTGTTGCTGTTTTTCAAATTTTGCAGTTTTCTGTATTGAATTTTTGCTATTTTTGTGCTTCTATTTTTCTGTTTTGATGATGTTTTGTTGGAGTAGTTACACAAAGTTTCATTCTTTCTTTTTAATTTCTAGATATAGGAATTGTGAAAGTTGTTACACCATTTTTAGTTGATAGGTTGCAATACTTGATATGAGTCATTTTTACATTTTTAGTTGAGTAAGTTGCTTAAAAAATTTGAGTTTGATTCATTAATGATAGAATATGAACCTTGTGAGAATTTTAAGCCTATTTTGCTTATTTCTTGTGTGATTTCACTCATGTTGCTAGCTTACCTTTGGTTTTGCCTTGTATCTTTTTTAAGCTTCTTGTCACATGCATTATTGATATGATTTAGGCCTTCTTTGAAATTGTGGCTACTTTGCCAAATTGACTTACCTTGCATTGATTCCTCTTGTTTACCCCCTTTGGGCCTTTATAACCCTTCCTTGATTTTAGCTCATTATAGGCCATATAGTGGAAAAAACCATGATGTTCCATAACCTTAGGGATTATAGGAGCTTTGGAATTGGTTTGGGAATGGATTTTTAATAAGTGTGGGGGTGCCTCTAGGAAATACTTCTATATTGTGAATATTGAGTTGTTTGGTATTAAAAAAAAAAAAAAAGCAAAACAAAGCAAAAAAAAAATAAAAAATATATATATATATATATATATATATATAATTAAAAAAAATATGTCAAACCATAGGGTTTAGGAGATTTTTTCTAGTCTTTTTGCTTATTTAAACTTATTCCCCATTGCTCCTCTTTTCTCTTTAGTTGTTTAAGCCTCAATGTCTTTTTCATCTAACCTTTACCTTGGCCACATTACAAGCTAAATAAAAGTCCTTTTGATCTTTAATAGCATGTGTTTCAAGTTGTGGAAATTAGAAGCTTGTCAAAGCTTGATTGTGCTAGTTTTCATGTTGTGTTGAGTGTAAATACTAGCCGAAAAAAATAATAAATAAAAATATTTGAGAGTTGAGAGCTATACACTATCTTGTGAGGTTCTATCATTTTTGAATCTTTCTTTATTTTGACTTGTTTTCTTGCTTACTTTTAATGTCATTTGTGTCTCATTGATTTTTTGTTGCCTTGATTCTAGAAATGTTTGTTCTCTTTCTTTATTCTTTGCATTGGAAATTCATTAGAAAGTTCTGAAAATTTTGTAAATACTTCTTGTTGTTTTAAAAGT